TACGCTCTATCTTCTTGAGGCTTTGTCACTTTATTCATGATATTTAATCTACACAAGTAACAACTATTTTTCTTAGTTTTATTATCAACAAAACACTTGGTTTAACAATTTGTTCAAGTCATATAAAACTATAAAAAAATTTCTCAACTTGTTACTTGAAAAATGCTCTTGCAAAAGTTGTTGAACCAATGACTAAATTCAAAGTTAAGAGGATGAATAAAGCCCTAAATTCATTATTTAAGGATGTTTTATATGATCAAGGAGCCCTAAAAACAAATGAAGTTCTAGAAGAGTCAAAAAAGACTCTTAACATATTAGGTCTAACATAAGATACTCAAGTCTATGAATCCAATTAGTTTAGTTATTATTTTTTTCTTAAATTTAGAAAATTATTTTATCTTATTTGAATTTCAAATTTAAATTTAAGAAAATTAGTTTATTTTGTTTTTATTTCAAATAAGGATAAAATATATTCATTAAGAATATGATATATCCATTTGGACTCCTATATTAACTAGGATTGATCATTTATATTTTTAGAAGTTTATTCAAACAATTAAGTCCTTTGTGTTTTTAAAGACTTGATTGAATTTTATGAATTAAATTTTCTTTTAATTGTGAGGTTATTTCAATTATTGTCGTTCTTATGGGATAACACACCGCAAGATTTCGAGTTATTATGAGTTATCATTTGGTTATCCCGTATTTGAATAGAAGAGAAGAGGAGATGAGGTATTTGGATTCAATGACTAAAGACACTGAGTGGTTATACCATCTAAATTATTGAAATCTATATCAACGGTTCAAATAAATTTACTCATTTATTAATATCAAATAGAATATGAATTTAAAATTATTGATTTAAATTTCAATGACTTAAATGACATAAGTACTTAGTGCTTATATTAATTATAATCATCGAACCCAAATCCAAAGATGAGGAAGACAGATGAAAAAATAGTTACTATCTGCGTCCAATTGTAGCACAACTATTAAAATCTATCAAGTACCAAATAATAAAAGAGATTTCGTGAAGAGTGAATAGTAGTATTTCAGGTTGGCAAAAAAAAAAAGTAGTATTTCAGGGTAAAAAAATAGTAGTATTAAATTTTTCTTTTTTCATAAATTTCTAAAATCTAAGTACTGTTATTAATGGCTTAATAACTTTCTTCTTATTTTACTCATTCATTACTCTCTGTATTGTTACTCATTTATTTTTTTCGTTTATTAGTCTTTCCGTACTTTTAATGACATTTAATGATATAAATAAACGAGGAATACATTGATAAAAATATAATGATCATCTATATTTTAAAGTATAAGATATTTTTAAAAGAGATTTAATATTTTAAAATTTAAGATATTTTGAAAATATTAAAATTTGTCAAATAAATTTATTCTAACATCATACTTTTTCTCTCTATTTAATGCACTACTAGACATGTGAATTAGTGAGAGATAATCTATTTCTCTCTACAATGTCAAATTAGTGAGAGATGTTTCAAATTTTTTGTTTTGTAAACACATTTATTAAAAATGGAATCAAAAAACTTAATGGAATAAAAATTCTCTTGGCTATAAATAAAATAATTATCTAATATAATAAATTTCTCAGTATAACTTATATTTATTTTTAAAAAATTTCATTAATTTTAACACAATTTTAAATTTATTTATTCAAATATTTATATACTCCTTCCGTTTAAAAATATAAAGTATTTTTTGAAGAGTTGAATGTTAAAAATGTAAGGCATTTTTAGCCTTTTGAGGTGTAATCATTGCCTTTTTTTTTAAAATATCCATATTGATAATGACTTTATATTTATTAAAGGGTGTTTAATAGGCATAAATATGAAAAGACGGGTTAGTTGGAAACTAGGTAACTACTTTATTGAGGGTGATATTCGGTTAAAAATGTCTTATATTTTTAAATGAAAGGCATACTTATTAATTCAAAGTTTGTTAAATTAGGTGAGAGAGTAAACTGTTAGATTATAAAGACAAATTAATAATTTTAAATTTTTAACATAATTACAAATAAAAAATTAACTATCTAAAATATTTAACGGAATATTCCTACAATGAATTAGATTAAAATATATGCTTTAAAATTAAAAAGAAAATCTATGTAATCTTAACAAAATAAAGGGAGTGTTTTTGTATTTTACAATATTAAGCATTTTATTTTAAAAGTGTGTATATATATATATATATATAAATTAAAAAAATTGTTGAACTTTTAAACATGTCAATGAAATTTACATTTTTTTATTTTGATAAAAATATTATAAGTAATTTATAAATAGAAAAATATTTTTTGGGAGAACATGCAAAAAATTATTTGCAAACAACAACTAATACATACTCTTTTATTAAAAAATTTAAAGCATTTTTTAAAGAGTTTGATGTTAAAAATATAAGATATTTTTAGTCTTTCAAGTTGTAATCATAACTTTTTTTTTAAATGTATCTATTGATAATGACTTTATACTTATTATAGGGTGTTTAATAGAGGTAAATATAGAAAGATAAGATTAGCTTAACAAGTAGGTAACTACTTTATTAAGAGGTGAAATTCGGTTAAAAATCGCTTATATTTTTAAACGAAGGGAGTAATATATTATTATTAAAATGATAATATAAGCTTATTTTTATTAAATAAAATTTATTATTAATCTTTATTTACGAGTAATTTTAAATAATTCTTTTTATATGTCCTTCCATGATGTTATTCTTTATATATATATATATACTCTCTCCGTTTAAAAATATAAGGTATTTTAACCGAATCACACCCCCCAATAAAATTATTACCTACTCCCTTGTTAAAAAATATAAGGCATTTTTAACCAAATCTCACCTCCCAATAAAGTAGTTATCTACTTTTAGACTAACCCTATCTTTTCATATTCACCCCTATTAAATACCCTACAATAAATATAAAGTCATTATTAATAGGGGCATTTTAAAAAAAAGTAATAATTATATATCGAAAGACTAAAATACTTTACATTTTTAAATATCTAACTCCTCAAAAAATACTTTATATTTTTAAACGAAGAAAGTACTTTTAAAACTAACCTTATCTTTCTATATTTATCCTTATTAAATATCATATAATAAATATAGAGTCACTATTAATAGGATGCTTTTAAAAAAAATAATGATTATACCTCAAAAATTTAAAATTATTTATATTTTTAAATACATAATTTTTTCAAAAAATGTTTAATATTTTTGAAGGGAAGGAGTGTATATTTCCGTGGCAAAGGAAGTTTTCATTGACGTGAGAAAACTGTACAAGAACAAGACAAAATTGGGAATTTACATAACTAACCTCAAGCGCAAAATATGATGAAATTTTCTGCGTTTGATCTTGTGAATGGCTATTTTCTGATAGGGCCTAGCCGCCTCCATTCGTAGCAGACGGGCCTGCATAGCGTACGGGTCAGTTAAAAAGGACAGAAAATGAAAGAGGTTTTATGAAAATTAATTAATTTAAATTAATTTTTAAATATTAAATTTTAAAAATTTATAATTTTATTATGATAAATTTATAATTTATATTTTAAATTTCAATAAAAAGATAATTTTTTGCTTTTTAAACATTTTAAAATTTTAAAAAATAAATTTATTATAATATAATTATAAAATTGAGAAATTAAATTATAAATTTTTAAAATTGAACATTTAAAATTTAATTTAAATTAATTAATTTGTTTTAAAATTACGTTATCATTCCCCCAGGAAAGAACGAAGGAGCCTGCGTGGTTGTCAGATCACGAGGGCAGGAATCTCTTTGTATTTTCCCCCTTTTGTACTGTAGCCTGGAGGCTTCTTTATTGGCTTTTATTATGTAATCTTCTAATAAAATTTACTCCAACCAACCAATTTTGAGAAGAACAAAATAATAATAATAATAATAATTAACAAATCAAGTTTATCTACTATCTTGTTTTCTCAGAGTTAACGTATAATTAATAATTTCACTCTTAAGATTATAGATTAAGTAATGTTTGAAATTTTAAATTCATATTTAATATGATTTTTTTTAAATTTTTTTAAAAAATACAATATTATCTTTATTATTAATAAAAATTAACTTTAATTATTAATTGATAAAAAATTACAAAAAAATTTTAGAAAATGATAAAAAAATTATATGAAAATGACCAAAAAGTACAGGCAATAACCTAAAAAATTACATGGAAGATGGAAATCTTTTTATGTAATTTTCGCTCATTAACAATCAAAATTAATATCTGTTAATAATTAAAAAAATATTATATAATTTAAGAAAAAATTTATCATTTAACTCTTTTTTTTTTTAATAAAACATTGCTATTACTTACTAGTACTACCTTGCCACAATTGTAGAGTTGATTTGATAAGTTGAAATATAGGATAATTTTATAAAAATAAAATTTCACTAAAGGTACATTTTTAATATTATCTTTTTCTTATTATTATTTTCTATCTTTTTATTTTTAACATTAAACGTACATTGAATCTACAACCTCACAATTCTATCAAGTTCCAAATCGGCAAGGACCATTATCTCAATTCACAAGAAATATTAAAAAAATTAAGAAAATAAAGACAAGAGGGCTTACCAGCCAAGATTTAAGCAGATTGAATTGGAAAGAAAAACAAACAAACAATGGCACAATTTATCAGGACAAGAACCAATAACGTACTCTCCTGATTTTGTATATTAATGGCCTTTTAAAAATATAATTTAATTTATTTTATAAGTGAAATTATTTTATTTTAAATTAAAATCTCCAAAACTAATCTTAAAAAATAAGAGAGAAAAAGATAAAAAAAATAATATTATATTATTTATGCATTCTTTTCTTTTCATTTGAGAATTATATTTAAAGTTCATCTATTTTTATTTTTTATATTTTTATTATATTTGTATTAATAAAATTGTTAAAAATTACTTATAAATAGAATGGAAAATATGTTGTGTGTGTGTGTGTATATATATATATATATAGAAATCCAAAACAAAGCACCATTAACCATTAACCTTATTCGAAAAACACTGGTAGCAAACACCCCGCTAGTTTGGGCAGGATATTCAAGATCTGCAAGACTGCCTGAATAATACAGATTCAGAGTGAATGTTTCTCTACAAATTGTTTGATCATTAGCATCAGCTTCTTTGCAGCTTCTGAACTAGGATCAATAGTGAAGAATCCATGTTGCTTCCCTTCAAATTCTGCATACTCTATGTTCTTCCCCAATTTCTTAAGGCTACTTGCATAGTCCTCACACCTATCTCTCAGCAAATCGCTTCCTCCAACCACCACTAGTATTGGATCCAAATCAATGCCTTCAAGGCTCTTGCTCCGTGGCCCAAATGGATTCACAAGGGGATGATCTCTGTCATCTCCAATCGGTACAGAAAGCCTCCAAAATCTGATTCATCACGCAAAAAACTTAACACAGAAACTGAACAATCGGCCATTTGTGCCTAGACAGACTTGAATTTCTTCTATTAGGTTTTCGAATGAAAGTATTACATATCAAACAATAAGATCGGCATAAGAGAGATTTATTATTTACGAACCTGTCAATGAGCTCTAAATTGAGGAAAGCGTCTTTTGGACCTTCAGCCTCCAATCGGGTTCGGGCGGTGCCGCTAAAGAAGGGTGCCAAAAGAATGTAACCTCTGACCCGAACCGGCGCTAACTCGGGCGACCCACGCCCAAGCCCAAGCGCCAGATGGTGAGCGATGTCTCCGCCGGCCGAGTCACCTGAAATGAACACCCGATTGAAATCAGCCACTTCGCTCAGCCATGGATCCGGATCATTGTTCGTGGCTTGTGCCTGGAGCCACTTGACAGCCGTGAATGCGTCATCCACAGCGGCTGGGAGCCGGTTCTCCGGAGCCAGCCGATAGTCCGGCGATATGACGACGGCTCGGAGATCTGAAGCGAGTCGGAGGCAGTAGTTGTGAAAGTTGGGCCAGGTAAAGGAGCCGATGCAGAAGCCACCGCCATGGATATAGTAGAAAATCGGAAGTTTGGAGGATGAAGACGAATCAGCGGGCTTATAGAGTCGAAGCTGAAGGTCATGGGTAGGATCGAAAACGACATCTTTCCATAGAACAGAGCCGTCGTCGTGGACAGGGACGTTGAAGCTTGGCTTTGAAGAGCGTACGATGGAACCGTCGCTGTAAACTTGAAGGACGCCGCGGCAGTCCTCCACCACATATGGAGGAAGGTGAACACTGGAAGAATAATCTGAAGCAGTGGAGGACATGATTCAGTTTTCTCCCCTTTTGTGACTGAAGGTGGGTTTGTGGTTTGCTGGTTGCTGCTTCAATTTCACCAAGTGTTACAGACTATTGCAAAAAAATGAAAAATATGGGATAATGAAGAGACGATGGATGGACGGCAAGTCGGAAATGGAAGGCCGAAGGAAGAGAGATGATATTTTAAAAATGAAAAGTAAAAATGTTGAATATAAAAGTAATAAAAGATAGGAAAGGACAAAGATGAGCTGTGATATATACGCAGCAGACGTCGGGAAGGCCATTTCTTTTTATTTTTCCAAATTATTTACATGTTTTGAAAAAAGTCATTTTACACGTTTAAATTTAATAATAAATTATAAAAATAATTAATTAAATAATAAATTTTAATTATAATTTATCATATATATATTTGAATATTATTTTTTTAAAATTAATTTTAATAGAATTAAAAATATTTAAATAATTTAATTAAAATTAATTTTTAACTATATAATTATTATATAATTTAATTTTTAAATTTTAAATATTAATTTTTTAAAGATTAAAAATTAAATTTTATTAAAAAAAAAGAAGAGAGTTTGATTTTATTTTTTATTAAATTATGTGTTTTTTTTGTAATTTTTTTGGGCTTGTCTTTGTAATTTTTTTAATATTTTTGACAAACTTTTGGCAGAAAGCGGATGAAGGGAGCTTCTAGAAAAATGCGCGTCTTGCCTCATAATCAATTTTTGATCATTTTCAACTATTTGGATAAATTGGCTAAAAAAATTGATTTTGGGGTCAAAAAATCAATTTTTCCCCTTGTCCAAACGGGCACATTATTGTTTGAGGACTCGGCCTCTTTGTCCATCTTCGATGTCAGTTTCAATGCCTATCCATGTGATGAGCAATCTGAACTGTTCTAAGTTTTGATTTGAACGATTTAAATTTTGATATTTTATTTTATATTTAATAAAAAATTAATTTTAATAACTTTGTTTATCATCAATTTGAATAATATAAATTTAATTTAAATAATAAATTTAATATTAAGTGTTTTTATAATTTTTATAAATTGATTATCTAGATATATTTTAAAATGTCTAAATTTAAAATTAAATTATTTAAAAAATTATTATTTTAGTAAATATAATATTAAAAACAATAAAAATTAAGATAATCTTCAAACTAGATTTTTAAAAAAACCTAACAAAATTATAATTTAAAAATTTTAAATCTAAAGTGTGCAAAGTATATCTGAGATTTATAAAAATTATAAAAATATTTAATATGAAATTTATCATTTAGATTAAATCTGTATTATCCAAATTGATGATAGAGTAAATTTGTTACCCTCCCCGACATTCACTCAATACAGGAAAAGATTAATGAAATTATCACTTTAACACACAAATTAATAATCAAATATTATGTTTGAAAAACTTTGACCAAAAACTTATTTCACAAAATTATCAGAAACCATAATACATTTGAGTAACACACAGTGGAAGAAAATCACATATTTGCACAATGCACAATAAAACACAACTCATGAGCACTCTTATTTCAATTACATATATAAAAAACCATGAAAATCATGTTGGAATATAGGTTGTGTGCCGCGGCGCGTAGTACGTGTGTTTACAGCATGTTGCATAAAGCCATATGCCTAACTTTCTGTGCCATGCACCGCGATACGCCTATTCAAAATTTTTTCTGTCATTTTGACAACAAAATTATGAATTTTCGACGTGCATTGTTTTCACACATGACATCCGATCAAATTGACTCAAGCGTCCACCTGAAACTTAGCTCATAAGTTAGTTAATAAGAAAGGTTTGAACATGATCTAATGGTTCAATCAAAATTTTGACACCCAAGTATAAAAAGTCACTTTTTTTTGAAAATTTTGGGCATCTAAGCATTCAAATTGATCCCTTTCTTTCAATAGACTATACAAGGCCTTGAATCAAGTCTAAAAGGACCTAATAGACCTAATTGATCTCAATTTATCACAATTATACATCTATATCAAAATTTGACCCCTCAACGGTCAATTTTCACACTTCACAATTTCACACAATTTGCCAACACTTGGCATAACATAGCCTACTTGGCCCTTCACTCAACACATTCACAAAGAATCTCATCCATAACACATTCATAATATAATCTTAATCCTAAATTACTTATTTCATCATAATTTCACGCATGGGCTTAAGATTTCTACATAAACATAATCAAATTATAGTCCCTGATTCATTTCATCACAAAAATACACAAATGAACTAAAATTTTAGAAAATTACTACTCAATGCATGCATGCAACCCTATGACAACTCATATATACACATACACACAAGTTCTTGGTTCATTACACAAACTTCGAGTTTACACGACTTCAACAACTCAAGTTGGCCCAGACTCTCCTCTCTTGCGCTGATCACTACTCTGTCCTATAAAAATGTAATCGCAGGAGTGAGATAAAAATCTCAATAATAGAATAACTCACTTCTATTGATTATTACATGTAACAATATGAAAGTAAAGTATAATATATCATTTAAATCTTATTAACATAGTATATATCACAAGTTTCACTTAAATCACATTAATGTTTCACATTTCACTTCTTCACACCACTTTCACCACTTTACTATTACAAACATTACATAACATTTCATAACATGATCACTACCGATCAAATCTCCAAATAACCTCGACACAAAATCATAGGCTCGCCATAGACTAATATACACTTTCATTGGTTTGAGCTCACCTTTAATGGTAGAATCACTTGGCCAAAGATGTTCTATCTAACTTTCGAACTATGGTTTCTTCTAATACACACAATGAGTTGTCATTGACTCCAACACCGTAACACACAGACACTAAAGAGTCCCAAATCTCCAATACCGTATCTCAATAGGCACTAAAGATGTATAATTCTCTAACACCATATCCCATCAGGTACAAAGGAGAATATGTCATGGTCTTATCACCGCCTCTCCACTCAGGTGAACTCCTAACCCTATAATTATGCTTTTTGAACCATTCAAGATTCCTCATTACCACTTTACATGTTTTCTCATACACACACACACACACACACACACACACACACACACACACACACACACACACACACACACACACACACACACATATATATTAACATATCATTTGAAATAACCCATTTAAATGCTTTTATTCTATCAAAAGCTATTTAATGCAACATCACACATTGCTATAAAACAAGTTTAGCTCAAAACACTTTTATGCACTGCATAGCATATTCACACACAATTGCAATAAACAATCAAATAAAGGAAGTTATTCAGTTATTTTAACCCTTCTATCACTAGAAAGGTTACTCGTAAATTTCAACTATCATAATAGCTTATCACAAGCTTCCTTTCTCACTAATGTGTCCAATACGATAATTTGAACACATTTGGCACATTTTAATCATTTGGTCCATTTTGACCAAAAATACATTTTCATACCTAGGGCTACATTCATCCATAAATTCTTTTTTATTTATTTATTCTAAATCCATTACTACTTAATTACTACCTGACATCCCCTTAACAGGTCTTATTTTGCCCAAACACGATTTGTACCCTAAAATATCTCTCTTTTAAGGCCAAATTGAGTCTATGGGTTCAAAGCTCTATTGTTTAGCTTTAAACCACTCGCAAAACTCTAATTTAACTCTCGAGAACTTTTTTATTATTATTGGGCAAGAATCAAACCCCTAAAATTTCACTGATTCAATTTCTCTATAACTCATTTTTAGAGAAATTTGTGTAGAATGAAAGGTAAGATTTATTCATAGTTCACCCACTAAGTTATTGATCAGAAGCACCTTTCAATGACCTGAAATAGCTTGTCCTAGCACCTCAACCTTTCTTTTCTCCTCCCTCTTGTGTGTTCTAAATCTCTCTCCTATGAAATTTCTTAAATTTCACAACTTAAGAAGTCATTTTCTGGTCCATACACCACAACGCCTGTAGCACAAGCCGCAATGCATGGCAAAGTAAGATTAATTCTCACCACGCGCACTTACTTCAACCTGAAACGCTATCCTCTCACCCGTACCTGCTCATACAACATCTCAATGATTCAAATTATCACATAACCATCCAAATCTATAATTTTAGACTAATTATCACTTTACACTCGGTTAACAACTAATCACAAGATTGAAAAATTAAGATGTTACAAAATTTATTAAAATTTATAATTTTTATTTTATTAAATATAAAATAAAATATATAAATAAAATATAAAAATTTGGCTTAGATTACTTATCATGTGATGAGCACCTGAATAATTTAGATTACTCATTGTGTGGTGAGTACCGAAACTAGCCTCATCCATCTCCCTCCTTTTCCATTTCTCATCTTAGTCATCAAATTTTTAAATAATTAAAATTTAATGTTTCATAAAATTAATTTTTTATTTTTATTTTAATTTTAAATATTAAATTACAATTTAAATAAATTAATTATATCTTAAGTTTATTTATTTTTTGTTCATAAATTCAACGTTTTAATAACAATTAAAAAATAAAAAATTTAATTTTATGAAACTTTAAATTTCAACCATTTAAAAACAAATTTAATGGTTGAAATGGGAAATGGAACGAAGCTAACTCTATTGTTAGGTAGAAAAGGCCAAAAGTTCTTTTAATAAATATTTATTATATTTTTAACTACATTTTTTTATTTTTTTTTGAATCCTTTACTTTTATTTTTAATGATTTGTTGGAATTTACGTTATCATTTTTTGCCTTTCTTATTTAAAATATTTAACCTAATTATATTTTTATAATTAGGGTCTTTTATGTCTTAGTTAAAATTCATCACCACAAAACCAATCTTCATATCATACATGGTCCTAATTTATTAAGGTCTTTTATATTTTTTGATCAACTCTTACTTTACTGTTGAAAGGTGATGGATGATGATAAGAGACAATCATCTTTCATGTATTACTTAGAACTATAATTGGTAAATGATATCTCTTTGAATTAAAAAAAAAACCCTAGAGGGAGTACTATATTGATATAAGTAGTCTTCACAAATTTTCATGAATAGCTAGCTAAGGTATATGCTTGATAACATTTTTTTTTTGTTTGGGCTAACACCAATTTATTTTAGTGAATTGAA